AAGAATTTCAAATAGCACCGTTTTTTGTTTTGTTTTGTTTTTTTAAAGAGTTTGGGTAGAAATGTTAAGAAGGGTCCAACAGGACAAAAAGGAGAAAAACTCTAGGAGGAGAAACAGCATCAACAGAGGTTTAGCAAGGGGATTTCAATTCTAGATAAAAGTCATGAGATTTAATATATAGAGATAAGTAATGAGAAGAATGTAATACTGGAACTTTAACCACCCTCTAAAACAATATATAACATTCATGAAGAACGGTGTCATGGGAGTCAATTACTATAACTTAACAACTACAAGCCAAGCGAACTTCAGAACTGCATTTAAGTGTTTAAGAACACATTTCAAATCGTACTTAACCAACATATTTCATGAATTTGATAACATTATAAATGGTGATACTTAAAACTCAGGGCTGCAGAAGACTACATTCAGGAACAAAAAAACAGGCACAGTTGCATTAAGCTGACAGACAACAAAAAGAAATGCAAAATGCCTCACACCAAATTTCTACTTCAGTTACTGGCATTAACCAAAATCATAACCAAAAGAGCACATACAAAGCATGTTCAATAGAACACCACTTTCATCATTGCAAAATTCAGTTCCTGATGCACTTAAGTTTCATTTTCTTATAACGTAGCCATACTTATTTAATATTCTGTTTTGGAAGTGGTAGTATCACCTGTAGAGAAGGAAAGGAAGGAAGAAAAGCACAGAAAAGAGGGGAAAAGCAGTGACCTTCAAATGCTCAAACCTCAAAATTCACTAAAAATACCACTAATTCCACACTGTGGATTTTGTATGTTACTAGGTGAACTTACCACTTACACAACATTTCTGCTTAGCAAAGGAGACTATTAGCATAAAACTAGAAGTTGAGCCATTACCGTCTACTCAAAACTTATCTCAGCTGAGGAGGAGACACTGCAATAGCATAAACAACAACAAAAAAAAAACCCAAACCAATACTGAAACTGAACTAACAACGACACAGCATCAGTGAGAGTAAAGCACAGGCATACAAAAGCATTTTCAAGGGGCTAGCACTCTTCAAAAATACACAAAGGGGGATAGGTTTTTTTGCTTACAAAAAAAATCTGTAGGGTCCACTGGACAATAGTTTCAAACAATGCCGTGTATTTTAATCCCTATACATCTTCAAAATAAACATTCTTTGAAATAGCCCCTTTCCAAAGAATACACATCACACTAAGTAGAGGTCAGAAGCTTTATTTTTTGCTCAGGTGAAATTACACATGTGCTCATTAGAGGTTTCACCTGAGGAAGAAAATGCAGGATCAAGCCAATAAATTTTTGAGAACTAAACTTTCTTGCTAATACGCTCTTTGCTGATATGAAGTTCTTGGCAGAACAGTTCCAGTTGGAGCTAAATTCACTGAAAGTTCATTTTACCACCATTTTCCACAGAAATATTCTATTTCATTCAGGTTTTTTATTCACTGATTACAAAGATTTTTATGATGACTGGTTTTAGCCAAGTACACTGTCACACTGGAAGTTAGAACACAAGAATTTGTCAAAACATTTTCTTTTTATAAAACACTTTCAAATAGTAATTTAAGAAATAAAATTCAAGCTGTCAACTTTTTAAACCATATCCTCAGAAAACAGCATAAAAGTGTTTTCATTTACATTCTTGTTAGTCAAAGATAATCCTTCTATGGCACAGACCCAAATTTTACCCTCCTGAGTGTACATACCACTGAATAATTTGTTCAAATGTCAGTTGCAATTTTCAAAAATCCTTTCTTGCCTCTGAATCTTAAACATCTGTAACAAATACTTGTTTTGAGAGTGCTTTACATTCATGACACTTGACCTTTTGCTGTATGCACCACAAAATTTAAGTTTCAAATACCATGCAAGCAGGAAATCTGATCATTCCAGCAGTAGCCATCTGCGTGGTCCAATATCAAATATAGTTCTGGGTTGCACAAAGTCATGGGCTACAAATCTTTTTCTGCAACTTCTATAATTAGTTGTAATTTGCTGCTTCTAAAACACATTTCTCATGGAACATCTGGCCTCGAAATCTTACCTTAACGTTGGAAAAGTACTTAGCATTTGGCTGTTGGTGTGCATACACGTGTGTATATGAGCATAGATTCAGTGTAACTACAGAATGCAAGCATATGCTTTGCGGGCGGCATACCTAGGACTAGAGAGTTCTACTCCAGCAACAAAAGCCTTTTAGCTTTGGAACTGTAAAAGAATATTATAAGAAATACCAAACATAATGAAAAAGTGTTTTCCAATGTTCTTGCTGGCTTATATCTGATTATTGATGTTAAATGTTAATAGCTCATAAAGCATCCTACCAAACACTTGAGAGCTTTGCACAAATTGCAATTTTCTTTTGTATGATCCTTAATATAACTGGAGGACTCTATGTTGAAATTGAAATGGGAACAACACTTTAAAAAAAAAAAAAAAAAAAACACACAAACCCACAAAATCTCTCCAGAGTTTAAGCACCACACTGACTAAAAAAACCACAAGTTCATCATTAACATACCCAAGTACTTTTTGTTAACTAAGTTAGACATGTAACAAAATCGAGCCACTACATATTTCAGCTTCATTGTGTCAGAAGGAAATCTCTCCTGAGCCTGTGAAACAGTGTAATGAACAAATTAGTGCAAGCAACTAAACAAAAAGCCTTTTGAGACCCTTATACGTAAGAAGTCTTCCAAGTACACTCCAGCAAGTACTATAACTTCTAAAGGGAAAAAGCAAGTTACACTCCAGGATCTTTAAAGCACTCCTTCAACAGTAACAACACATCTTTTGAAAAATGCCCAATGCCCAGTGGTGTCACACACAGCTGCCTCAAGCAACCAGCACTGCTTCTTGGGAAGCAGAAACTGGAAACACGTAGGATGCTATATTGCTCCTGAAATCTGTTTGTTATCTAGTCATAGGAAAATTCTGGCAGAGCACTATTAACACACTTTTACATCCACAACACCACCACTACAGCTAATAAAGAATTAAAAATATGCATAAAGGAAGATACTAGCCACGATGGGAATAACAATATTAGCCTCTCAGAAAGTAACAGGGATTGCAACTTTACATACCTGATTCTTCAGATGGCTTAAAAGAAAGTGACCTATAGAAGCTATTATTTTCATCAATCTCTCAATGTTAGAAAAACATTCATCGTATTTCTTACCTGAGCTCCATCCTTTAATTTCAAGATGCATTCCATCGTATTGATAGTGATGACAACTGGTTCTGATCCCAATTTTGTCCATGGCACATGAATCCGAAGTTCATGAATATGCCCACTTAAAAAAGTAAATGGTAGTTTCAGCTCCTAACAACAACAAAAGAAGTGGTGAGGTGACTACTGAAACATATCAAAATTCAAGACACATTTGTAACTTAAAATAATAAGGTTCTACAACAAAACATAAGTCAAAAGTTATTCTCCCTCCCCAGATCAGCAGTGTGCCATGGGGTTTGGCCACTGGCTTTATAATCGGGTGCACACTTACATTACAATTAGTCTGTTCAAAAGAGACATTGGATTACCATGTCCTTGATAATAAAAGACAGTTTAAAACCACCTCTCTTGCATGAAGCGACTGCAAAATGTGTCACTATTCAAGGGACAAGTAGAAATGAACCAGGTGAAAGTAAATACATAAACTGATATGCAACCTCCGTTATTCTGAAGAACACAAATTTGGAATTAAACAAACACTGACAAGGTGACAGCAAGGCGATTTCTTCCAAAATATTTTAGTACTTTGAGTTTTAAGAGCTCAGTGCTCTTAAGATTGGCCACAAACAAAAATGAAGTCTATACAAAAGCTACGATGTACTTACAACAAAGAGTTTTAGTAAAAACTACTGAAAAGGGGTTTTTTTGTTAGATACATGTTTAATTGGTTCCCTTTATTTTATGTAAGTACAGTTTGCATTCTTTTATTCTAGTGTTAAAATAATGTTAAAGGTTAAGGAAACAAGCCAAACAGAAGATTAGAGGTCAACACAAAAACACTAATTGAATCAAAAAAATCACTCCATGAAACAAAGATTTACTTGGTGCACTTTGTTTGACTTACAAATTAAAATTTCTGTGTTTTATACACAGTAAATCAAGTAAAATGCTTTCCATTTTCAATATTTGTAATATGAATTAAAACAAGAGTGACATTAAAATGGTTGCGTTAAAAAAATATAAAAGTGTTAAGGTTACTAAGCCAGGCACTCTAAATTAGGAAATGCCAGAAGTAGAGTTACAACTGCTATTCTGATTTGACTCTTGGCTCATGTATTTTATGATGTCCTTTCTAAAAACCATGATGTCATATTATTTCTTCTGCAGAATCCCTACGTAATTCAATGATCAGGATGGAGGCACTCACTACAGAAGCAGTTAATCTGGTTTTCTTGTTATCTTTTTATGCACAGCTTTCAAGGTGTTGCCCCATTCACATCAAACTGCTCAGTAAATACGAAGTTACTAAATTGTTCATTGGCAAAACTCAGACTCCTCCTCACCAAGGCCTAACTTGGATGTCACACTGCTTTAAAAAGTGGTGCAAGTTAGTCCAGAACTCCTAATAAATGCCTGACACTCCATCCAGTAAATGCATAGAGCAGACGTATGTGGGACGGCCCCAGTGAGCTGGTCAGCAGGAAACAAGGTGCAGAGGTTGAGATAAATTCTTTGGATCTCAAGTAGGCAGCACTGGACATCACATTGGATGCCTTCATCTGCTTTGGATCCAAATGGTTGAAATTTCCCCAGTAGCCCCAGGAGTTCTCCTGGGAAGCACGAGCTTAACACTTATCAGACAGAACAGCCACGTGCAGCTAGAGACCTGGTCCAAGGACTAGAAATCAGATTTAAAATAATGAAAATAAGTGCTTAGTGCAAAATAAAGAAACAGTATTTGATATTATGTCAGAATTTTAAGTCAGCATTCTCAGTACTAAGTATTCTAATGATGAGGCTTCAATAATGATCTATCTTCTTACCTTTCTGATCTTTATCCTGACATTTTTGGCTACAAAGGTTTAAAGTTTTAATGGGGAAAAAACAACGGATGTGTTCACTTGGAGTTGCTTATAGCCTGGTGTTTTGGTCTTCATCCTAGATGCTAGGAACTATAGGTGTGAATCTTGTCAGGGTGAGAAAGGAAGTGAATCTAAGTCTCCTAGATGCTGGGCAATAGTTTTGGCCATTAGGTTCTTAACTGTTGTGTTTCTTAGTAAACTCAGGGTCATAAACCTTTGTTCAGAACTTCAGAATTTACCTGGCAAAACTGGGCAACCCAGGGCTTAAGCACCTTTGCACCTCTGCTGAGTTTAGGTACTTACATGCTTCAACTCAGTACTCACATGAATGAGTAGGACTTAAATACAGAAGGCCCATGAAACTCTGAGGTCAAGCAGGCAAGTTGCTAGGGAATTTCAGATACGTGCATCTAGAAGTGGATCCAGAAAGCCTGTTTTCCTGCACTGCTTAAGCCTAGACTTATCCCTGCTGTATAGAAGTTCTACATGAATAAAATTTGAGGACAATTGGATTTTGCATTTAGTACTTGACATATATGATAAAAGTCTACCTACAGAATATTTCTGTGAAGCTAGTTAATGTCATTATTTGCCCAATATCTTGAAACTGTAATTAAATCTTAGTGATATGTTTTCAAAACCCACTACTTTTTTTTTTTTTAAGTAGCTACCATGTCATAAGTTCACAGTTGCACACTACCGCAACTGTGACAGGTTAGTATCCTGAGATAGCCTCTAATTAGTTACCCAAAAGAGAAGTCAACTATTCTTATGCATGAATACCTAGCACCATCACAGAGACAAGCGCCCTCTCCATTCCATGGCTGATGCCTCTTCAGCCTTTCCACTGGTACTATGAAAACGTTCATCCTGCATACAAGGCTAAGAGTAGATGCAGTATATTCACTGCTGTCAAAATCTTCAGAGAAGACAACTACACAAAATTATAGCTCTATTTTTTGCAAAGTACAGCTTTCAGTTTGTAAATTGGTTCTTGGTTTTAATGAGCTTTCATGAACAAAGTTTAAAAAAGAAAAAAAAAACCACCTCTCATGTCAGGGAAACTCTTGACTCCTAGCTCAGCCATGCTTACACAAAATCACATCTAATTTCAAGTCCCCATTCCAAAAGATGATAGTTATAGACCTTCTCATAAAAACAGTTTGAAGAAAACTGTTTGTTTTTACAAAGTGTTTTTTCTTCATCTTGTTCATAAATATACTGAAGGATTTTAGCTAAAAGCCTCTCTCCTAGAAATTCAGCCTTAGGCTTACAATCAACATGAATAAAATTTTAATCCAGACAACTTCAGTTAAGCCACCGAAAAGCAAGTACTGGGCAGTTTAGCTACAGATGTTGCTACACTGGTCATACAATAAATGAAAAAATACCTTATGTCCCACAGCTTTGTGGAGGCCAACAGAAATAATTGATCAAAAAAATATGCAATCTAAAAATACATTACAACTTAAGAGACAATGCTTATGAATCAAGACAGTGAACTATCACTATTAACAGTAATAGAAATAAATTCCCTTTCCAGACCAGCAGATATGTAATTTTTACGACACACATTAATACCACAATGTCTATTTAGATCCTGACTTGTGCTCACAAGTGTAAGTTATGAGTTTACTTCAAAAGGCATTCTAGAATAGATATTTTTCCACTATTTGCTGGATGGCTTTAACACATTCTCATTTTTGTCTAGCTAACCGTGAGGTTTTGAAAGAAACTGAATGGAAGTAGGAATTCCTTCAAAATGAAGTGATACGACCAAATGCACAGCATATTTAGAAGACACGGTTCTTGTTTTTCAAAGGAATTTAGATAAAAATGTTGTCTGACATTACCCTAATTGCACAAGCAAGTTTCCTTAACGCAATGCAGGGAAATCTTTGTTGTGTTATTTCAGTAGACAATACAAAACAAACATGTGCCAAATTTACTAACTTGTTCAAAATACAACATAACAAAGATAATTTTTATTCCTCTTCCTTTCCTGTGCAATCTTTCCCCTTTCATTAAGTACTGCATGAAATTCTTAATGTATCTTTTATACTTATGACTGATTAGAGTTTACTTTTTAGGTTTTACATTTACATCATATAAATCCTTCAAAAAATTATGATATGGCTGAAAACAAACTCCTGGGCTTGACACAAAGTAACTGACCGACATCATGCAAGACTGCAGACTAGATGATCATAATTCCCCTTGTCCTAAAATACAGGACTTTCCCGAACTTTGGGGTGATAGGCAAGTATTAACTCAAATACCTTTTCTTCACATTCAAGGCTGTATTTCACAAGTAACCCAGTGGCACATAACACAGACGCTTACAGTAAGGATATTTTAATGCCCTCATTTCCTTAAAATTATCTTAAATACATTACCATTTTTCATACTTCTTTCTTTCTAAATTCTTTCAGGTATGAAAAGTCCACACTACAATAAAACTCAACCACCTTTAGACCAAGTTCTCCTTTGTCTTCCAATCAAAGACCACTTCATCTTTCCCTCCTGAGTTTGTAAAACAGCTAACATAATAAGCTAGGATGTTATGGAAATACACACAAGCAGCAAGAAGAGCTCACCGTGTATCTTATCTCTTTGGTACCATTGTGTCAACAGAAACATTACACACAAGCTAGTTACCAAGTTCACAGGTAGTTCTATTACCTCTGGTACCATAGCGACTTCACATAGAAGTTGCCAAAAGTGCTTAAAAGGCTTTTCCATAAAATAATATTTAAATATAAATTTTAAAGTTTAATTACAAAATACTTTCTTGAAGTAGTTTTTGTACAATGTGCCAGTTATTATGCCTAGATGGAAAATTTCTTGGAATGCTTAGTCTTTTAGTAATTGAATCATCCAGGATAGGAAAAAAACTACTATCAAAATTTTATTAGATTTAATCTTCCACTAAAGATAATTATAAAATTAACTGGCTATTCAAAGAGTGACATAATTATGTACAAAAGCTACATTGTACCTAGAAGGTTCAACCCGAGTACAAACTAGTACTCAGCTTTCACTACAGAACTGGTATTGTCCAAAAAAAAAAAAGGGGGGGGGGGGGGAACGAAGAGTTATTTCAATAATATTCAACTTAATTTAATGAGAGCATATAAAACATACATAAATATACACAAAAATATGAAAAGTATTTTCAGGTACTAAAATGTTCTCTTTGGGTTTGATAACGTTTGACGTTTGATACATCAACAGCTACATTATATCTGATTTCATAAGGTACTGGTTCCAACTTAGTCGCAAAAATAGTTTAAGGTAAGATCTTCTAGAAGACAGACAGCAGTTTGCGCTCTGTTCTCATCTGTTCTTTAGGATTCTGTCTAGTGGCCCATAAGAGCGCAACGTGACATGGGTACACTAACATCAGCTGAAGTGCAAGGAGTGAAGGGAGAATGCACAGACTTGTTCCCAGATCTGTTATAAGGTGCTTTGTCCAGGTAGTTTGGCACCTATGCTAATGTTCTCAAATAATCTTGCACAGTTCCACAAAAACTGGAATCCTCTGACAATGTTTAAGACTCCAGACAATGATATCCAGGGTATGTGCATTTGTATCCAAAGCCTAAAGCATGAAATTAAGGCTGCATTCATGCCAGATAAGGAGCAGGGAACCATCCTGGAGATAACAGCAGAGGATGTTAGAAGGGAAGAGCAATGCAAGTGATTAACTTTGGATATCATGGATCCATTCAGACAGAGAATCCAAATAGAATAACATATACTGGTAACTTTTAGAGACTTTAGCTTTTCAGGGGAGCTCCTGCCAGCTGCAAAGGCTTGGGGGAGTTGTATTACCACATACTACATACTCAAAGAGTTTTGCTGAGCAGGCATAAAGCAGCGTCCCTTCTGCAAAAGAGCAAGACACCCTAAATACAGTTTGTGGGTCTAGGCAAGTTCCAAAAAATAATAAGAGCCAAATTAAGACCACTACATTTCACATAAACATACAGCCAAATAATGTAAAAAAAATGAATCAGAGCTAAATTTTGCTTTCATCGCGTATTCACATGCCCATTCAAGCTAATAAGACATGAGCACAGGTATATATGGCAAGATTTGCCTTTACAAGAGCCATGACAGCAACAGATTGCACTGGATATTTAGGTACTCAACTGGTACATGAACAGACAAAGACGAAGCCAGGGATCACCTACCAGCAAACTGCAATTATTTGAAAGGGAACAACATAGATGATGGCAGCAAAATCCTAACAGCGCCAGGTAATACAGCAAGTTTGATATATCCATTCCAAGTCATCATTTGTTATTGGGACAAACTTTCTTCCTACACGCTATAGCACTGGAACAGTTTACCCAAAGAGGAGGTTTTCACAACCAAGACAGGAGACTTCAAGACTCAACTGGAGAAAATCACAAGCTGATCTGACATAATGCTGGCAACAGCCCCGCTCAGAACAGGAGGTTGGACTAGATGACCTCCAGAATTACTTTCTGATCAACTCTTCTTTGATTCCATAATATATACATTAAAAAAGGCTTTGAATATTCACAGGAGGAACACATCCTACACAGCTGCAGTCCAGTATTCGCATCAGCTACATGGACAAGCTGTACCAAGAAAACAAGGAACCAAAAGACTTGAGAGAAAATACAGAGGCCACCAAATACTTGAAGGAAGACAAATCAGGCTCTTTACAGAAGCACAGATAATAGGACAGGTTCTCTTGAAAGATTGTCTCCTCTTCCAGAACAGGATCAGACTTAATTAACCATAAATATTTCTTTCAGATTTTAAAAGGTCTCCCCTGATAAAAATCATGCAGTCTCCTCAGTCTACTCCAATGCCTCACAATCCGATCAAAACATGAGAAAAATTTTCCTCGATGTCCAATCTAAGTCTCCCTGAGTGCAATTTATTCCATTCTTTCTTGTCTCATCCATATAACTTTTGCCCTATCTTGTCTCACCTTATTTTATTCAAAATTAAAAACATTCCCTGCCTATTTTATTCTTCTTTCAACGGCCATATTGTCTAAATCCCCCATTATTTTTTGCTGCATTTCTCTCAGCTCCTTCAGTTGGACTACATCTGGACACAGGACTCCAGCTAAGCCTCGCTACACCATGCACAACAGAAAACAGCTTTATCTATCTCACACACTCAACTCCTCGAGTTGTCAACTCAGATAAGCACAGAAGGAAACAGTCCCTCCACTAAGACTTCACCAGTTCATATTGACAGCAGGCTCCAAATTCTATATCAAGTGTTTTACTTGGTCAAGCTTGTCTTTTTAAGGCCAAGTTTTACAGAGCCTCTGATCTAATCCACATGAACCAGCTGATCAAATCTGTCCCTCAATTACTCTTAAAGTTTAGATACAACTGGACTGATGAAAACTGGAGTCATAAAACAATATAGAGAACACAAATGTGTTTAGTATGCATAATTAAAGAGATCCTACTTTACTTTGTGACATTTTGAATTAGTTACTATAGGCAATTAGTAAATATGACTGGAAAAGCAATTTAGTTAATGTTTGTACTGTAAAACAATGGTAACTGAAAGAAGAAACATGTCCACAAAAAAGCCTTTCTTTTCACACCCCATAACTTACAGAATATGCAAAGAATTACCATTCACTACTAAACAAATGGCATGGAATTAATGCAAGAATAACTAAATGCAGGGGGGAAAAAGAACTTGCATAAGAAGAAGAATGTTCATCTGTGCAGACCAATGTAAATTATTTAGTCAACTTCTTTTAAATCAAAGACACAGACTGTAACTACTGTAAACATAACATACCTGCTCAAGTACATCCAACTTTAATTCAAGTTTACTAAGTACAACATCTCCTCCCCAGAGTGACAACTGTAGATCTGAAGGCTTCAAGTTCTTTATGTAGCGATTCACATAACTCATCAAAATAGGAGTTACATAGGATTCCAGCATTTTGGAAGATTTCTGTATTACAGGTCAAGCACTAGGAAAAAAGACAAGACAATGAGGTATTATTTATAAGTCTGTCAGCCTAATTTTCAATAAAACAACAGTCACATTGTTTGGACGTATGAAAAATTATATTTAAAATTCTGCTTTTAAACATGTATGTCTATATGTAATTATGCGTATCTCTACATATAAAGATGAAAGATATACCAAGATGAAAGCACATCTATTTGCATTTACGAATTTCCAACTTACATACATATATACATACATACATAGGAACGAATAACTGGCTTGCTCACTATCAAAAGAAAAGCCAACCCAAACAAACCAAAAAACAGAGAAGGAGGTCAAGCAGTCTACCATGCTTTTACATGAAATGTAAGTGACAGACACCCTGTCACTTTTAACTGATAAAAGCCCATGCTAAAACATCGCCTTAGAAACGCCGATCTGACACCCCGAGTATCGTGCACATAGCAAAAACGCCAGCTTCGTGCCACCCTTAACTCTAAGCAAACTAAAACCCTCCAAAACCCAAGCTGAAGTTATGCTACCACTTGCCACCGCTTCCCTGCC